ATAGAACCCGGGACCTTCCAGTCCTCAGACCGATGCTCTATCCACTGAGCCAAACCAGTTTTGGGAAATCCTATTTACAGAATATGCCCCTCACCTAGGAGGGAGCCAGCCACAGCTGTAACAGTAGGCATGGATCTGCTGAGCCCCTTTCTCCATGCAGACCAATTCCCGCCCACACCGATAGCACTGACCTTGAGGAAAGGCAGTCTCCACCCAGGGTCTTTTGTACGTCAGGTTTTGACTTACTGGCAAGATGTCGTAACATTCAAGTCCGTTATTCAGAGGAAAAGTCTTATCAACTTTTGAAGCCCCATGGTTTTCCTCTTATTTGTTAAATTCCTGGGGATTCTCTGAATTCTCAAAGGAAATAATCTGAATTCTCAAAGTTAAGTACAACTTAAGTACAACTTAAGTGCAACTTCCAGTGCAGAGCTCAGGCACTGGAAGCTTACAATGCTTAAAGAAGTTTATCTGATGTTCACTGATACATTTGAGCCTCTTTTTTCCTTCCTCTGGGCCCAGGTCTGGGTTGTCTACCCATCTAGGATGTCCCTCCTCAAGGAAGCTCCCTGGCCTTGCCCACGTCACCTTCTGTGAACCCACATCCCACAAGCACCCAGCCCAAACCCAAACCCTTCGGGGAAGGGATGGGATTGGTGCTCCCAGAGTGGATTTGGTCAGGCTGGTCGGGACTCTGCTCAGTTTTTAAGGTTAGCAGTGCCCACCCTTTCATCTCAGGACGCTGAACTCTCGCTTCCGCCTCCCTTCCCTTCTCACTCTCCTGTTCTTTCTCTGTTCTCCTCATCCAGGTCTTGTCTCAGCTCACTACCCTGTTAGAGGGTCACACAAGCTTGTTAATTACTCAAAGTATGTGAGTTTTTATAGTGATCACTGGAAATTTATTTTTAAAAAGATAAGCAGGGTGTCCTAGCCGCTTTGGCTCAGTGGATAAGAGCGTTGGTCTGTAGACTGAAGGGTCCCAGGTTCAATTCCAGGGTTGTGGGCTCAATCCCCAGTAGGGGGCATGCTGGAGGCAGCTGATCAATGATTCTCTCTCATCATTGAGGTTTCTCTCCCTCTCTGAAATCAATAATATACATATACATATATATAGATAGATATATAGATATATAGATGATCAATTAAAAAGACAAGCAGGGCCACTAATTGCCTCTGTTTTTCCACATCATGCTGGAAGCCCTGGCAAAAATTGTAAGATAAGAAAAAGATGGTAAAAATACTGGTAAAGATACCAGACTATCTTTTGTGGGTAATATGATTTACTGAGAAAAACCCAAAGTCACTATGTGAACTTCTATAAGAAATTAAGCGAGGTGACCAGATACCGGACCAACAGAATCAGTAACTTTTCTGTAATCGGCAGTACCAGCTTAAAAAAATGGAAATGTTTCATCTCATTTTCATTTTTGTAATAACTCTTGAGGACAGTTGCAGCTCCGTTTCTGCAGATCTGAAAACTGGAGTTAGACGTTACCTTGACTTATCATTAGCAGAGAATGATTCAAATCCAGTCTGCCTGAGCTAAGGCCCTGATCTCGCACATCATCATATTCCACCGCCTCTCTTTCGTCCAGTCCTCTTTTTAAGTTGCAAACTTCTTAGCTGGACATGGTTTTCATCGCGGGCACTGACACTGAGTCAGTCAAACTCAGAGGCTGGCTGTGGAGGACGTGCGCGTGCAGGTGCAGTGGCCCGGGGAGCCTGGCGCTGAAGCTGCCTCTCTTCGGGGCGGCTGAGGGCCTCTGCTTTTGTTCTTCTGGAGTTCACATCTGCAGCAGCTGAGAGACGTCCTCGGGAGAGCGAGGTGGGTTAAAGACCCAGCCGCAGTCTTTCCACGAGGAAGGAGAAGCTGTCACGTGGGTAGGTGTCATGAGCTTATGCACCCAAGAAACGGTGATCTCTCCTAGCAGCTTGCTTGTGGATGTGAGCGGAGGCCACTGTCGTCCTGCTGTGAGGGGAAACCACGAGCAGTTAGGTCAGCAGGGCATGTGGGCAGGAGGCATTTCCCCTCGCTGCTCCTGGAGATGCCGTGGTAGGACATGCCTCTTGTGTGCAGGCCACACCGCTCCAAGATTTGTCTGATATATAGATCCGGCACGGCCTCGGCTTCCCGTGGAGCCTCGCTGGCAGGCTCTCCTTTCCCGGGTCCAGACCCACACCGAGCAGTCTGGCAGGGAAGGCTGTGGGCCGGGCCATGCCCTACCTTCAACCCGGCCCTCGGGAAGCGGTGAGCTGTGGGCATACCTCAAAGGTTGCTGGCTTTCCTGCTCCTTAGTACCAACCCGTCACTAGGTTAGGAGACCTTGGAAGGCCTTCCTCAGCCTCGCGTTTGGGAAGCTTTGCACTTGACCTTGAGGAGGTGGGGTGGGGTGCTGCTTGGTTCTAGGGAGGTCAGATGGGGGCATCTCTGATTGGCTCACGAATACCGGGGAAACTGGGTGTGCCCCGTTTCTCAGAATGACTTCCTACACATTGTGAACCTGGCCCTGGGCGGATGAGGGTCACCGCTGACTAACTCAGAAGTGACCGCGATGAGTTAGCCGGTTTCTGAGACGTCGGTGCTGAGTGCATGTTACTGTGGTCAGCACCCGGGTAGCTTCTAGCCTGAGAGATGACCGTCATGTGGGCGTTGGAGAAGGAAGTGAAGGAAGTGACCCTTGAGATGTGAGTCATGCTGAGGGCCTTATCTGCTTACTCAGGAAGTCCTTAGATCTTTGGAAACCTTTGTATCCTGAGACATCATGTGCCTGACACCCCCTTACTTACTGGCTTTTTCTGTCATGCAAGGTGCACCTTCTTACGTGAGGTGGGCCTTTGTTGAGGTCCACACAGTTCCTCTCAGAGGCGGCATTGGAATGGCTGACCTGCGTGTGAGAAGCAGGGTGTGGGGTGCTGAACGCCAGGGGGCTTGATAGTCGGGCTGTCCACATCTGGATTAGCCACAGCCGGTCAGCAGGTCCCTGCCTCTGAGTCTTCGTTTCCTATGTGTGATGTGGAGATGCTCTTTTACCTGCGATTGTTCACGTGTGCCCCTGCCTGGCACATGGCACATACGTACTCTCATCACTGGGGAGTTCTGGGCTTTGTTGTCGGATCGGCAGCAAAGTGGGTGAGAGCTGGACAACAGGTAGAGCGTGGAAGAAAGGAAGAGATTCTTGTGTGTCAGCTTGCTCTCTTTCCGTTACTGATATTTAATAATTATTTCCTATCTGAACCAATTGGCAGGGGGGACCCTTTGTGGTCTTGGCTGACATCTGCAGGAAGCGGGTGTCTCGGGGGATGCTGGGTCTGCATCTCCCCTCCGTGGGCCCCCCAGTTCCCGGAATGGCTGCGCACACATGCTGCCCGCCAGCTGGGTGGCTCCCAAGAGGCCGAGGAGGGAGGCGGCAGGCTGCACGCCCAGGTCACCCCACCCGCTGTGGAGGGGAGTCGGGGTCACCGAGAGGCCAGGGGAGGGGCGCAGGTGGAGCTGCCGCCTCAGAGCTGGGATCGGGAGTGAGGAGAAGTGTGCCTGCATGGTGAGCCCAACACATCTGGCTTACGTAACCAAAGGGGGTGTCAGGATTCAGGCTTGACTGGACCCCGAAGCTCAGATGTTGTCCATGGGGGTTGCCTTCTCTAAGGTTTCGCTTCACTTCATCCTCAGAAGGTGCTTTCCCAGTGCCCTCTCCACAACCCCAGGCTCAGGGGACCCTTGGGTCTTAACTTGAGATAAAAAGCCAGCATCTTTTCTGAACTCCGTCAGAAATCTTTCTGGATGGCCGGCGAGGACCATGTGTCCACATCTGGATGAGCCACGGCGGGTGGAGGGATCGGACTCCGGCATCAGCTCCGAATCACTCGGACCAAATCGATAGGAAAACTCCAGGCAGACTGGGTCCCTGTAGGGAAGCTGCACGTGTCCACCAAGTTTTAAAAATTAACAGCAGTTCATTGCATAACGGAAGTGAGTCTTCTTTTTCCTAAATACCTGTAGTCCCACTTTTCTGAGCATTTACTTCTTTACAAACGGGCAGAGGAGTAGGAATAACCTGCCTTGCCCCCAGAAGGATTGATGGCACGGACAAAAGACATGTAGAATAAAAAGACAAAGTGGACGCTGAGAGCAACAGCCAAGGAGAGGAAGACGTTCCCAGATTCAAGAAAAACCTTTTCATTTGTGTGGGGGTGGGCAAGGGTCCCGACTCCGTGGGGGTGAAAGGTGGGGTGCCCTGGTTGTAAAGACGGAACAGTTTTTACAAGCATGTGGAGGGTGCCATCTCCTGGCCCCCTTCCCTGAGTCTTGGGTGGGGGCAGGAAGCACCCAGGTGGTAGGTATATCGGGGAGGCAGTGGGCCCCGCTGTGCTCCGGCCACAGTCCATCCCAGCATCTGCTCACCTTCCCGAGACGCCATCAGGGAGGCTCCGGGCTGGACTGGATGCTGCTGCTGGGGAGACAGCTCTGCGGGCCCTTCCTCACTCTGCAGTCGTCCATCTTGCTGCCAGTTTAAAGTGGGCCCCAAAGATGTCGTCCTGCAAAATTTCTGGGAGGCCAGGACCCATGACCCCCCAGGGTATCCTTATCTCTTTCTCAGGCTGGGGTCAGCCACACGTGTAAACATTGGGGTTTGATTGTGTGTGTGTGTGTGTGTGTGCACCTCCCCTGCTTGCCAGGGTGCCTTGCAACTAGCGCCACAAACGGGACGACCATCCTTGGCCAAACCGGCTGCCCCAGCGGGAGGCCTGCTGTAGTGAGCCCGGCCCCAAAGCCTGGCCTCTACTCCTACCTTCGAGAAAACAAACCCAACCGCCCGGGGTCTGGCGGCCACATCGTGTTCAGACAACCTCGTCCTTCAGGGGTCCTCCCTCCCGCGGCCAGGATAAACTCAAGATTTCGGGAAGTCCAGCAGGCTGCCACAAGGCGGGCCGACGGCATGTGAGGGTTCGGGGTGTGGGTTTGGCTTCTTCCAGTTAACTCTCGGTTACCTCCCTCCAAACAGACAGCTACAGACAGTTCTTCTAATTCCTCTCAGAAGAGGGAGCAACCGACCCGGACAATCTCCTCCCCCACGTCCTGCGAGCACCGGAGGATTTACACCCTGGGCCACCTCCACGACCCCTACCCCACGGACCACTACCACCTCGAACAGGTGAGCGGAGTCTCCCTCCTCCTCGTGCTGGAGCCCTCCTTCCTCTCCCCGAGCCTAGGCCCCTTCCGTCCAACTTTGTCCCACCCCACCTCGCCGGCGGGGGTGGCAGCTCACCCTCGCTTAGAGGCTTCTGTGTGCCAGATCCCTCGTACTACCCCATTTCCCCGAATATAAGACAGTGTCTTATATTAATTTTTTTCTCCCAACGTTGCACAAGGTCTTATTTTCAGGGGATGTCTTATCTTTCCATGCACTAGGTCTTATTTTCGGGGAAACACGGTAGATCACGTTTAATCCTCGCAAACGGCCCCACGAGGCAGGTCCTCGGCTCCCCGCTTTGTAGATGAGGAAGCTAAGGCTCAGAGAGAGGGAGTCCCCGGGGGAACAGATTCAAATGCAAGTCTGTGCTCACCCGCGCGCTGCGCCGCCCCCTGCGGAGCCTCCAGCCCCGGTGTGAGCGCACAAAGCCCCTGCCGGGCCTGAAGATGCCCCACACCTGGCTCGCGCCCCTGTGGCTCTGGCGGCAGGCCCGGGCCTGCTCGGGGAAATGGAGCCTGGAATTCAATAACTCAACAAATATTTACCGAGGGGCTGTTTTGCAGAGCAGGTTCCCAAACTGTGGGGCTGGGACTGGTGCCCGTGGAGGGCGATGTGGCCACCGGTCTGCTTTGAAAAGAGAAGAAAAGGAGCACAGTGAACATAAAGCTGGTTTCTATGACTCATTTAAGAAATCTTTTTGTTGTATGCTTCCCAATAGTTTGGCATTAAAATTTTTAAAAATTATGGTAGCAATAGATAAGAACTGACTTCTTGACGCTCCTTTAAAAAAAATTAGCAAAGCCTGTAACAGCTCCCGAGATTTGTTTTGAAATCCTACAGGATTGTGATTTTGTGAAGCCCGGGAAGCTCTAATGTCAAGATTGTCACGGGAATTAGGGCCGACGGTGTGAGAGCAACCCTGCTCATGGTTCAGTGGGAAGCCATGTAAAAATGCTGTAACTATTACCATGACAGTGGCAGCCGGTATGGAGCACATCCCGTGTGGCAGGCTCAGTGCAAACACCGAGGAGATTCTTTCAATTCACAACAGCCCCATGCAGTCTGACAGTCGGGGAAACTGAGGCTCAGGCACAGCCACTTCCCAGGAAATTGCACGGCCTGGATATGACTCCAGTGGGTTTGCCAAGAACTGTGCTCTTTTCCCTTAAAAAAAAAGCCTTCATGCCCCACGGACTTCTAAGGTGGAAAACCGGCTACCTGCTGAGAGGACTCTTGGCCCGAAGGCAGAATGCAGCTGGGGTTGGGGGCTGGAGGGTGTGGCTCTGGGTCACAGGTTCCAGTTCTGTCACTATCTGTGCGATCCTGGCAGGATTCGAACCCAGGCAGCCGGCCTCCGGAGCCTGCGCTCTTAACCTTTTGTTACCTGGGCATCGTATCTTCCCAACCTGATTCCACGGTTCTTATAGTTCCTCGTAGCCCCCTTTTGCTCTTTTTGAACACGACCCACAGTGAGAAATGCATTTTACAGGGTGACCCAGAGCGCACGTATTGTATATACGCATAGATGATGAAAAGTACTTACCCTTCTAACGTGCCGTGTACTCCCGTATTCGCCTATTTCACTGAAGAAGGAAAAATTTAAAAAGTTGATCAAACAACATACTGTACAAAACCAGGCAGAAATCAGGCACCCTCACCTTCTGCTTCTTGACCTGGGTGTGTCCAGCTTCTGAAAATGCAAATTATTCTTACAGCGGGCATCCTTTCCTATGAAATTCGTGCACAGGATGGGAGGGGTGGGGGAGGGTATCCCTGAGCCCTGCCTGCACCCTCTCCAATGTGGGATCCCTCTCACAATCCAGGACTGCTGGCTCCTAACCATTCACCGGCCTGCCTGATTGTCCCCAAACGCCTCTGCCTGCCTGATCGCCCCCAACTGCCCTCCCCTGCTGGCCTGATCACCCCTAACTGCCTCTGCCTCAGCCCCTGCCACCGTGGCTTTGTCCAGAAGGCAGGCCAGACGACTGGAAGATGTCTGGTCTGCCTGGTCTCATTAGCATATCGCCCCTTTATTAGTACAGATAGTTATAAAATAAATTTGAAAAGGGGAGGAGGATAAAAGCTGTCCTCGGGCCGAAACCGGTTTGGCTCAATGGCTAGAGTGTCAGCTTGGGGACTGAAAGGTCCCGGGTTCGATTCCGGTCAAGGGCATGTACCTTAGTTGCGGGCACATCCCCAGTAGGGGGTGAGCAAGAGGCAGCTGATCGATGATTCTCTCTCATCGATGTTTCTAACTCTCTATCTCTCTCCCTTCCTCACTGTACAAAATCAATAAAATATATTTAAAAAAAAGAAAAAAGCTGTCCTCGGCCCACTCAATGGATTCCCCACCCAGGAACGGGTTGAGACTCCCAGTGTGATGTCCAGTCATTCCAGGACGGGTCAGTTTCTTAAAAGAAACGCCTTTGTCAAGGTGAAAAGTACATGTTAGATTTTTTTTTTTTCCTCCTTTTTCTGCCACTGCTGAAAATGCTGTCTCTCTTCCCCTGGGGCAGCCGCTGCCCAGGCCGTACCGCCAGGTGAGCTTCCCGGACGACGACGAGGAGATCGTGCGCATCAACCCGCGGGAGCGGGTGTGGGTGACGGGCTACGAGGACTACCGGCACGCGCCCGCGCGGGGCAAGGCGCCCGGCCCCGCCGACGACCCCGACGCCTACGTGCGCTTCGCCAAGGGCGAGGCGCCCAAGCACGACTACACCTACCCCTACGTGGGCGCCCCGGACTGCGGCCTGGGCCTGGGCCTGGGCGAGGACCCCAAGGGGCGCGGGGCCGGCGTGATCAAGACGCAGCCGTCGCGGGGCAAGGCGCGGCGGCGGCCGGAGGAGGGCGAGCGCTCCCGCTGCGAGTACTGCAGGGACCTGTTCAGCCACGACGACAACCGGCGCGGCCGCTGCCAGGACGCGCCCGACGCCGCCAGGACTTGCATCCGCCGCGTGAGCTGCATGTGGTGCGCGGACAGCCTGCTCTACCACTGCATGTCGGACCCCGAGGGCGACTACACGGACCCCTGCTCGTGCGACACCAGCGACGACAAGTTCTGCCTCCGGTGGATGGCCCTCGTCGCGCTGTCCTTCCTGGCGCCCTGTATGTGCTGCTACCTGCCCCTGCGCGCCTGCTACCACTGCGGCGTGCTGTGCAGGTGCTGCGGCGGCAGGCACAAAGCGGCCGCCTGACTCCGCGTTCCTCCTCCCTCCTCCCTCTTCCCTCCCCGCCAGGAGGGACCGTGTCTCCCGCACACACGTGCAGCCTCCCCCCTGCTCCTCCCTGGGGCCTGGGGCGCCATTCCAGCCCGGGGGACCCTCCCAGCCAGCCATCCCTGCGCACAGTGTTCTAAAGAAAGGACCCCCCCCCCCCCCCCCCCGCGTAGACTCGTGTATGGATAATCTGTAATCAAGCTAACTGTCTCATCCCTGTGTTGATTCCCTGCCCACCTCCCACTTCTAGTTCAAAGGCGCCTGCCATCCGAACGGCTGCTTTTTTTTCTCTCTCTTTTTTTAAATGGGTCTTGTAGTTGGTTTTTCCAGAGCATCGAAGGCTATCTTTGTCTAGGCTCAGCTTGCCAGTGGCTAACCAGCATCTCCAGGTTCCTGGAAGTGTGATGTCAGAAGGAGGAAACCCCAACCGGAAGTATTTTAACCCCAGGGTAGCTGTGACATCTCGGAGGCGAGCTAGTGGACAGACTGACTTCTACCTTCCAGCAAGGCCGCTCTGACTTTTCTAAAGCCAAACTTCCCCCCTGTAAGCCGCCGTTTCTGTCTCAGCCCATCATCGTTTTCCGCCCCCCAAACCTGCCAGTTCTTCAGGAGGCAGACATTTCACCCGTAAACATGACTATGAATTGAGCCTTAACTTCAGATTAACTTGGGAGAATCAGGAAAACCCCTTCCACGGCATCACATCCTCTCTAGCCAGGGCTAGAAAAGGAGCGATCCGGTTTCCCTGAGTCTCCCCCGTTCCCCCTAAGGTAGAACTTTTTAAAATTGCGTCGCCACCACTTCCAAAAAATTTAGCAATATTGGGAGAAAAATGCTAATTAAGTAAATTTGCTTGCTGTTTTGGAAACCAAATACTCTCTTTAAGAAACACAAACTGGTGTTGAAAACACTAAGGTTCCGCTCAATATAAAACGAAGGAGCTCCCCTCTCCCCAGTGAGGGTTTTCTGCTGGGGGGGGAGGGGGGAAGAGTGTTAAATGATGTAAATCTGAGGAGTGGTGGGCTGCATTTCGCACGTGGGTTTGTGTTTTTCTTTTGGACTCAATGTCACGCCACCAAATTCTTCATTTATACTTAGGAAAAAACAAGGCCATATGTAAAAACCCCTCCGATGCCTAAGTGTCTTTCTCCTGCACCTCCAAACCCAGACTGGCCACTTGGTGTGCAAACATGGTTGAGTCAGCAGGCTAGGGCCTACCTGTCACGTGTAGGAGGCTTCGAATTAGCTGGAAAATATTATTTTTCTAACCTATCGCAAGGAATCGCCAAATCTGAGGGCAGGAAGAAGGCAGGTGCAGAGTGGTTGACCTGTGCCCAGCATAGTACAATCAGGAGGACGTGGAGAACCTAGGGGCAGGTTTGTCCAACACTGTTCTTCCTGCCACGATCTGCCCGTGGCGACTGCCCGCCGAGGGCATGGCCTGGTCCCTCACCCCTCGCTTCCCCCTCCCTTCTCTATTGCACACAGGACACAACAGTCTTCAAGGGAAGGGACTCCCCCCCGCCCCCCCCCCCCCCCCCAGTCTTCCCATTGTACTGGGAAAGTGCTAGCCACGCTTACCTTCATGGAATGCTTCCAGCTCTCCCGAGAAGCCCGTCGAAATTTCTTGAGTCAGATCACCGGTGCCAATGCCCTCTGTGCTCCTGAGTCGGTTGGTAGACGTTTTCATTGGTTGGAGTGCCTAGTTGGGCCTTTCGGGCTGGAAAGGGGCCAGAGAGGGTTGTCAGACTGGTGATGGGAAGAAGGAGCATTGCTTCCCTGCCAGGAGAACATCTCGCCAAACCGCAGCCAGCCTCCCAAGGTTGTTGAGAGACCACCCCCACGCCCCAAGGTCGTTCTCAAGGTCTCCTCTCTACAAAGCACAACACTAATGTATGTTTCGTTAGACCTCGGTTCCAGAGCCCCTATTTATTTCAGTGAGAATACTCGTACCCCAGCAGCTTTCTGTCCGTCCGCTCTCGCTCGTCTGTTTCTCTCTTCCTTCACCCCCTGACCTGGTCCACCTAGTGAATCTGACTCCGCCCATGCTTGTTGGTTTGTGAAGGCCGTGGTTCAGGGCACAGGGCAGCCGTGGGGACATGTATGTACAGACGTCCCTCTCTCTCGTCGCCACACTGCAGCTGGACAGTGTGCAGTATTCCCCCAGTCAGCTCTGCCATACTGACGTCCATCATTGGAGAGAAATTATTCAGATTTTATTTTTGTATCTGTGGAAACAACACATTAACCAAAAGATTATCTGTTTGGAAGCTTCTCCCGACAACGCCTACCCGCCCCTCTAGGCTATTTGCTCACATTAACAAATTAAAGTGCCTGAAGCATCATTCATTCTTGACCTGTAACTAAAAAACCCTGTTGTATGGATTTTTTTATAATAACCCTTTTTACCTCCGTGTAAAAAATATATATACAAGTGTATGATGTACATTTTAAGTTCTTAACTCTTTTTTTTTTTTATGGTTTCTAATATGTATGACCAATGTAGCCATTGCTTTAAACTGTAAATATAAACACATCCTATGAGGTCGCTGGCTTCGGGCTGTTTGTCGGGCCAGTATCGGAGCCATGGCTGGTGCGGGAGTTCGCACCACAGGATGGGAAGGGGCTTCTCTCTCGGAGGAGGAGGAGGAGGAGGAGGAGGAAGAGGATGTGGGGACACAGGTCTGTTTGTGTGAGGCCCTTCCCAGCGAAGCCCTATTCCCAAGGGGAGGCCGCAGCTCCTCAGCTAGGCTGCCTCAAGTGAAAGGAATGTTGTATGTCAGCACCCAGGGAACACCCCCTCCCCGGCCGGCCGGCCTTCCCAGGCCAGCTCCTCCGAGGGAACAGCTGTACTTCCTCCCAGTTGTTTTCCACCAACTCCTGCTAAGCCGTGTGTGTGTGTGTGTGTGTGTGTGTGTGTGTGTGAAGACAGTTTCTTCCAAAACCAATTGTGTGTTTTTTTAATATATTTTTTTCAAAAAATTTTATTTATTTATTTATTTTTTTAATATATTTTATTGATTTTTCACAGAGAGGAAGAGAGAGGGATAGAGAGTTAGAAACATCGATGAGAGAGAATCATCAATCAGCTGCCTCTTGCACACCCCCTTCTGGGGATGTGCCCGCAACCAATATACATGCCCTTGACTGGAATCGAACCCGGGACTTTTCAGTCCCCAAGCCGACGCTCTATCCACTGAGCCAAACCGGTCCCGGCTTAAATATATTTTATTGATTTTGTACAGAGAGGAAGGGAGAGAGATAGAGAGTTAGAAACATCGATGAGAGAAAGTCATCAATCAGCTGCCTCTTGCACACCCCTTACTGGGGATATGCCCGCAAGCAAGGTACATGCCCTTGACTGGAATCGAACCCGGGACTCTTCAGTCCCCAAGCGGACGCTCTATCCATTGAGCCAAACCGGTTTCGGCTAAAACCAATTGTTAAAACAGCAAGACCCGGTTTCGGCTAAAACCAATTGTTAAAACAGCAAGACCCGGGGTCTTCTCACCACCACTCAGTGACATTTGGCCCACTTTCCCTTCCAAACGGGCTCCTTGGATGCTCAGTGGCGATCCTGAGGAGATCAAGTGTGGGGTCTTTTTAGGGGTCACAGAGGAAAGTTTCGGCTCCTTTAGATAACTGAGTAGGGCCTTAAAAAGATGAGTAGAGGGGCCCCTCCGTCTTAGTTTTAACTCCTGCAGAAAGGAATGACTTCTAGGCCATGGCCAAGGTGAAAAGCAACAGGAGATGCTGGCAGGTAGAAAGCGAGAGGTAATTAAGAGATTACTGGGGGACTTGGAAGCTCCATTTCATTAGAGTAGGAGATGCATCAACCAGATTACAGTGGGGGAAAGAGTCAACAGGGAGGAGGTAGAAACATCAAATGTAAAACTTTTATTTTGACAGTAAAGAGATAATGGGATTGCTCTGAAATAGAATTGGTGAATTAAGAAAATAATATCTGCCAGAACAATTTACTTAGGACAATCTTGAATAAATTGTTCTGATTGAAAAACAAAACAAAAGAGGAGAACTTGGAAGGCACCTCCAGAACTGCAGTGGGGAAGGAGCCCTAAAATCTTACTTGATCCTCATGGATCCCCTTCCCTCCCCGCCCCCAGGTATGTCCCTTCTATCCCTGTTTCCGGTCGAGGGATGGAAGCTTAGCAAGGGTCAGTAATAGGTGACCATGCAATCACATGAGGCAAGGACCAAACTGGACCTCAGCTCAGGTGACTGCAGAGCCCCTTCCAGGCCTTGCTCTGATACTCGCCTTCCTTCCTGCTTTCAGGCTTCAAAAGGGGACACCAGTCAAGAGCCTCACTCACCCTGTCTGCCCCGTTCCCTCAGGCTGTCTTTGGAATGGCCGGTCAGTTTGGTACCCTTTGTGCTCAGCCAGGAGCTGGGCACACACATATCGTCTCCTTTAACCTTCTGCAGAGGAGCTGGTGTCTTTCCATGTTATAGGTGAGGAGTCAGGTGTAGAGAGACTACATTCATTCGGTCAAAGTCACTGGACAGTTTGTCATTACGAGCAAAACACTTTTGAGCCTGTTTCCTCAGATGTAACCAGGGGAATTATACCTACCCTCAGAACAACACAGGTAAAACGATGTACTGTAATAAGTATGTAGTACACAGGATACACTTCCAAAATGCTAATTCCTTCCTCAGGTCCTTTTCTCTGGGAAGGATAACCTCTTGAAGCAAAGGAGGCCGAATCCATTGTGGACATTTTGTATGTATGTAGGCCTACAGCTTATATGGTGAGATTTTTTAACCTCTGCAATTCTAAATTAGGTTTTGATTCTTGCTGCCCCTCCCAGATATGTTAAGTGAGCACTGCAGAAGTGTACTAGGCTGGCCAGAGTCCTGAGGAACAGTGAGAGACAAGAAGGGCATTACTTAATGATAGAGGTGTCAACCCAAGAGAATATTTTGTAAATAATTATGCACTCAACATAGAGACACCTAAA